ATATATATATATATATATATATATATATATATATATATACTTTTTTTGTATACACACAATCCTCTCAATATTAGTCATATATAATTATCTACTTCTTGCTCGGTGTGTGTTCCAATATAGCCACACCCCCTAATCCTCCAGCAGCGCATATACTAATAAGTCCGTGACGTTTTCCAGTTCGACGCAACTCGTTCGCAAGTGATGTTACAATTCTACCACCAGTAGCTGCGAAGGGGTGTCCAAGCGCCAAAGAACCTCCATTGACGTTAAGCTTTGAGAAATCAAACGCTTCCTTTAGTACGACCTCTTTGGAGTCTGTGTACCTCTCAAAGAACTCTGGAGATGCCAGACACTTTATGGTAGCAAGTACCTGCGCTGCAAAGGCTTCATGAATCTCAAATAGGTCAATATCTTTCGTGGTGAGTCCAGCACGTTTAAGAGCAGGACCCCAACCAAGTACAGGTGCAAGCAATAATTGAGGGTAAGGATCAATAGCAGAAAAGTACCAACTTTTAACCCTGACATCAGTAGGGTATCCCAATTCTTTCGCCTTATCCTCTGACATCACCAACATAGCACTTCCACCATCTGTTAATCCACTTGAGGTGGCGGCAGTTACAGTACCATTTGGTTTACGGAAGACTGGTTTAAGAGAAGGCATTTTCTTTTTCATACTTTCAATATCTGACTGAATGTAGTCATCCTTCGTAACCTCAACTGTCTGACCTTTCACATTTACAGTAACAGGAACAACTTCATCCTTAAAATATCCCTTCTTCAGTGCTTCATTCGCATTCTTGTGTGATGCAACAGCAAGTGCTTCTTGATCTTTGCGTGATATATTGTTAAGCTCACCGATCATATCACCGTGCCATCCCATTGTTTTACCTGTACTTCGCTCTTCCAAAGGGTTGGGTCGAGGTAACCAGTCTAATGGGTTATATCCAGCCTCTTTGAAAAATGCAGAGAGTCCTGATAAACCCTTATTTTTTCCCATAGTAAGTTTAGCCATTCCATAAGAGAATTTTTGTGGTGCCAATAGTGGAGCATTACTTACGCTATCACTTCCTCCCGCGATAACCACATCAGCATGACCACTCTCAATCAACATAACAGCCTGAGACAGGGCGTTCAATCCGCTTGCACATGCCATACTGGTTAAATTACCTGTAATGTGTTTGGGGAGGTCAAGCTCAATAACAATCTCTCGTGCACAGTTGTGAGCATCAAGTTGTAGTACCACGTTACCCCAAACAATGTGATTTATATGTTTCGGATCAAGTTTAGTTTTCTGTAAGAGACCTCCAACAGCAGCAGTCCCCAATTGAACATTATTAACCTTCATAAGTGATCCGAATGATTTCGCAAATGGAGTTCGTGCACCTGTCACGAAGACTGCCTGTTTTTTCAGAAGTACTCCACTTCTCTGCATAGTATGATTCCTTTGAGAAAACCAAACACTATAGACTATAGATAGAAGAAGAAAAAACAATGGGAACGCATTACCAGGTAAACCCCAAAAGAGGGATTGACATAGCATAGATGCAATACAAGAAGAGAGACCATCTTAAAGACCAAGAAAAGGGAGAAGACATACATCCGTGCCCAGGAAATAGAAACTTAGGTACGAAAACAAGCACAAGAACGAAAATTAGAAACACTAAAAGGCATCTAAACGCTCATTTGCAAGTCATAAAACTATCTCAACTAGTCTCTATTTGTTACCTTCGTTAGTATGTGGGTGGAGTTGTACTCTGTGCACCTCACCAGTGCAGAACAAATCTACATACAGCATATAGCCCTGCACAGGTCCCATCTCTCATTTTCAGTGAAAACTGTGGGGAGGGGAAAAAAAACCTCAAGAGAGATGTAAGTTAGCAATAAAAGATCATCAATCCACCTCCAATAAAACAACCCTAGAAACTCTGCACAACAACCAAACGTCACCAACCCAGAATGAAAGAGCGACAGAAGCAGAGACGCACACACACACACACACACACACACAGGGGAGGCAAAAAAGAGGGAGAGCGAGAGGGAGGCGAGAAACGCGTCCCCGACGAAAGGAATGCAAAGAAGAACCCCCGAGAACCACACCCCACACCCCACGAACAAAGGAAAGAACCCGAGAAACGAAACCGGCCACGACGAGCCGGAGGCCCTTTCGCCCAAAAGGGTGGGGAAGGGAGAGAAGGAGAGGAGAGAAAGAGAGAGGGGGAGAGAGAGAGAAAGGCGGCACCCGCGCGCCACCATCATTTGCAGGCGCCCCAAAAGGGAATAGGGACCCAAGAACTCGGGGGTGGAGGTCGCGAAAAAGAACTGTTTGGGGGGTTTGGCGTCTTGCGGGCGGCGGGGGAAAGGGTGAGGGCTTTTCTGGGACCCCGTGCCCCCTCGAAGGGGCGCCTTTCCCCCACCGCCGGCGGCGGCGCCACGCCAAACGCCAAACCCCAGGAAACCACCGACCCCCCGCGAAGGCCCGCCAAACCCCCCCCCCCTTTTTGGGGAAGCAACCGCGCCACACAGGATGTGTAACCCCGAATTCTCGTATCTGGAAACTGGGCTCCTTTATTTTGCCTTTTGGGGCTGAGGCCTGGCGCCTTCGCCCCGGACGTCCCGAAGAAGGAGAGAACCAAAACCCAACCACGCCATCATTGCCGAAGTTCCGGGGAAAGTTTACCACCCTATCACGGCGTCAGGGTTTTAAGCATCTCCGCTTTTCTTGAGGAAACCTAAAAGAAAAAAAAATGAAACCGGGTGTTCTCCGCGCCGGCTTCCCCAACAACACGTTGAATAATTTTATTTGCGCATGCATCCTTTAAAAATGTTATCTCCCGGCGGCGGTTGGCCTTTGAGAGAAAGTGGCAAGCACCAACTCCCCCACAGCACCGTGAGAAGGTGAGAACTGGCGACACCTTCTTCCGGAAGGGCTGCGGCTGACCCTTAAGCCAAAACACCGCACCACACTGTGATCGGCCGAGCCGTTTTTGGAGGGAAATGGTATATAAGAAGAACCCGGAGGACGCGCTGAGAGGCATCGTTATTGCTAACAATGGCGCCTTGGTAAGCCACATTGATGGGGAGAAGCACGTTCCAGTGAAGTAATAAGGACTATGCTTCTCCAACGGTGGAGCCGCACTTTAGCCGCCCAGGGAGAAACCCAGAGGATCAAAATGAATCGAAACCGCGCTGCCTCCGAAGAAATCATTTTTGGATTTCTTTCAACGCCCAGAGGGTTCCCGCATAGGTGAGTTTCTTCGCTTCTTGATTCTGGAAACGCCACGGTTTGCAGGGGTCAAAAAAAAAAAAAAAAAATGGAAGATACCCCACTGCGGCAAGCCATTTGTCATCTGACCTTGGTGGGGAAGAAACTCGGGCATCAGAAAAGGAGGAAGGCGAAAAAAACCTGTCCAAGAGCCCAATGCCGTCTTACGTGCGCACGGTGGCGCTGGATAACATTGTGGTAAAAAATAATCGCTTTATTTATTTTATTTTTTCTTCTTCGTGTCTTTAGGGACGTTGCTCCAACGGAACGGCTGCCAGCCTGCCACCGTGGAGCACTTTAATTATTGGCTTTTTGGTGATGTTGTAGAAGAAGAAGATCCCTTTCTTTTTTGTGGGGTGCTTAAACTCTTGGAATACGGTTTTTGTCATTATTTTTTTTTTTTTGTTTTTTACTGTTTGGTTTTTTTCGTGTTAAAGTTTTTTCTTCTGTTTTTCTTAAAGCCCGTTCCCGCAAAAAAGAACCAATTTACGAGAAATCTCTAATCTTACCTTTTCTTACCCAAAACCATCCTCAAGTCTCCTTTTTTTTTTATTTATTTTTTTTTTTTTTGCAATAGATTGGCCTCAATGAACTCCTATTTATTTTGTTACTTGTTTGGTCGGCGATAGACGCCTTGAGCTTACTCTTCTATCAGGGTTTCCATATTCGAGCTCGTCGCTGATTTTAGAGAGCTGGGGAGGCCTTACAGAGGGGGAGGTAGGCTGTGTAGGGTTTCTTGGTTGTGAAGTCTGTGGCATAGTGTAGTTCCACTCCACCGCAATAAGGAACTGTGCTAACCGCTTAGAAAAACATGGTTTCATCAGGGGTACATCATCAACTATCGCAAATTGAACTCGCAGTGGATGAAGAGCGGGGCAACTCAAGAGGTGCAGAGCTGTTTCGTCGCATTCGTCGCGTTGGCTGGTGTGCGCGCGAATAGGTTGATACCCGTGTCGTGGCATACGGTGTAGAGTTAGGCCTGACTTACCCATACATTGGTGACCGCACGTGCGGCAGATTAATGCCGGAAGGTCTCTTGTTTTCGTTGTCTTGTATCGTACAGTGATGGAATTCGTTTTTTGTGGCATACCCTCTCCTTCATGGAATTTTCTGCACTGTATTACGAGGGAGTCTAGGTGGGCGTAGAACTTCTGGCATAGTCCGCATTGGACTTTTTCTCTCTGTCCTCACGCTCCGGTGATGTCGACGAATCTCGCTGGCGTTTCTTTATTTCGTGACAAACCCTTGAAGACCTCGAGAACGGGTGAGTTTTAATAAAACACCAAAATCAATAGATTGCATATTCTGAGATTCGAACCAAGGTCTCCCGCGATTTAATATGGGATTTTTACCACTAAAGTAAATACACCAGGCGTCCGCCTTTTGTTTGCCTCGCCTAATCTTTCCAGGCGACCTCTTTAGGTGTGTAGTTAAAGGGTTGTAGTGTGAGCATTTTGAGGGGTATTATATCCGTGGTTTTATTTTTATTATCATTATCATTATGGAATTGCTATAACCGCCCAGAAATGGGTAGAGTATGGAGGGTGCCGAATCACCAAATACCAACATTGCAGAATCCCACTCTGAGTCGCTTCAATCCCGTACGATTTCTAAAAACATAATATGCCGGGTTCCCCACCCCCAACCCCATAAAACGCAGAGCCCGGTTGGATTCTCCACCCCATCCCCTGGTGCCCCTGAGCAAATGAAGTGGTAGAAAGGTTGCATCTGGGACGGTTCGTTTTCCACCTATCTAGGCTAAACGCAAAAATGGTCATCGGGAGCTATTCTTGGAAATTTGCAATGCATTTTACTCGCAAAGAACGCCTCGCAAGAGAGGTAATGAATAACATCAACGGTGACTTGTGGGAACAATTATCGCTGATTATAAAAAATTTATATCAGAGCGATTTTTACACCCAAGGGGCCCCAGCGGTCCAGACGGCACGGAAGCCGCACCGCAGAATAGCCGACCCATGATTCGTAAAAAAGTGTTGGACACATTTAATTAGTAGAAATAAATACTAAAAATAAATAATCCTTTCGGTTTTCCAAATGAGCTAGTAATCGGCAAAACTGTTTCTTATGAGGTCTGTGGGCGAAGTCAAAATTCAGGAACCCGTTTTCCTGTCAAAATGTTTTAAAAAGGAAGTGGGGCCAGAAAAGCTAATTAATTTCTGTTTCTAGATCGAATTGGTTTCCATACGAATTGATTTTACACCTTTCCAACTGCGCAGTCAAAAGACTCAGCTGATAATACCATTCCCTTTTCTTAGAATGCAAACTGTGGCCGAAGAATAACAACATCAGAGCGCCAGAGCCATGCGGCAGCGTATTGATAAAAGAAATATTTCATTGAAAAGTGCCCTAGGAAGGCGTTGTGTCCCACTTTTTGCTTTTTTTGCCGCCTCGCTGGCGAGAATCATGTTTCACTGTGTCAGAAACTATTTTGTAGTTGCCTCAAAAAAAAAAAAAAAATGGCTCTTAAAAATTACCTAGAGACGAATTTTTAAGCAATTTGACCACGGCCAAGTTGTTTAACCTCCGACCATTCTATTCTGGTTTCCTGTTTTCCCCTTTTTATGGGTTAAAGGAAGAAAAAAAAGGAACACGACGCAAGGCGTTTCACTTAACTCCACCCCCGAACCCTAATAATGAATTGTTAAAATGCCTTTGGAAGATGCCGAGCGAACAGAAAGATGCCCACTCCTCCGTCCAATCTTCTGCCACCTGGAAATCGAATCTCTGATTTTAGGGGCGTTCCGCAGGTGGTACCCCATCTAGTGGGTTAAATTGGTGCTTTGGAAGCTGTGTCTCTTTGCTGCAATTGTTTAGGCTTGGTGCGGCAATGGGTGTTCGGAGATTACCGCGTAAATAAAGAAAAAAAAAAAAGACGCAGATACCAAGAAAGAAAGAGCAAGAACATAGTGATTCATGACCCCTTTGGGGACAGCCATGCCGAACTCATGTTGGAAGCACCAATGTTTTGCACCTAAACGCCTCGAGGTGGTCCGTCCTCATCTTCATGATCCAGCTTCCCAGAAGTCGCGTTGAGAAAGTATCGTTCGTTTGAAAGGGGGAACCGTCTAAAGAAAGAGGAGCTCATAGAGAATACGGTTTTGGGAAATCTGCCATTTGAGAATTTCCCCACCCTACCAACTGCTATTCAAAATCTTCCGCAAACATCGTCTACATGAATAAAAGGCACTACAATTTGTTATATAATATGTTTCCTACTTTAACCAAACTCCACAAAACAAATAAACGGAAACAAGCGAAAAAATATTCTATGGGGTACAAATTAATTCTCCATGACCGTTCAATGGCAAAAGAAAAATAAAGAAAAGACTTTAAACATTAAATTTTCTATTCTTCCGGAAGACTAACCCGACAAGAGTTATGAAATGGCAGATTCTAAGGTTCCTTTCCTCTCTAAACCCTTCCCCATACCTTTGCAAGTTGAACCCACTTCACCAAGGCCACCGCCGACAAAGCAACACCACATGACAGACCATCTGCCGGGTTTTCGCGCTATTTTTCTCTTTCATGGTCGTGCTGTCCATTTCTTTGGTGTTTCTCCGAGGGTTTTACTTCAATGAGAGAAACATGTACGACCGAGGAACCTGTTTCTAATGATGGGGCATCCGTTATTACACTCCGTATCTCGCAAAAGAGCCGAGTCCGCCACGGGAATGGTTCTTAAACTTTACTCGGACGCTAGTATGTGTTTAATCGCAGCAAAGACCAAATGTGTTAAAAACAACACAGAACCTCCCTGCCCAACCTGAACACAATCCAACCAATATCAAGCACTGCCACCTGAACTTTCTGAGGGAGGTCGAACGGATTCACACGTTTTGCGAGTTGCGCGATCGCGTGCGGATTCATGCTGTGGACCTCAACCAATTCTGCCACATGCCTCAATGCACCGCACTTGTTTGAATGTGCAGTGCCACCATATGAAGCCAGAATACGCTCCACGTTGTTGTTTGCCAAATGAGTGGGATACTCTTATGGACGTAAAGCGGCCAGCAGTCGTATGGGAGCAAACGTGCCCTTGCCTTGCATCTTTTTTTATAAAGCGGGAGGCTTGATGGGTATCCATTTTAGCTATTTTTGTAACCTCGGCCCCATCCAAAATCACAGCTCCGACCCTCGGCCTGCAGAAAGTTCTTTTTCGTCAAAGTTGCGATTTCCGACCATCGACTCGCCGTGATCCGCGCCAAGTGGAACGCTGTTTGATCCTTTTAATTCGTGCGCGACTGAAATGCTCTAGCCCTTCTAGTGCTATGATAATAGTCTGTCCTGGTTTATCTCTGAATGCGCCACCATCTCCTGCAATCCCATTGTCAGCATGTCCACGGGCACTGTTTCCAAAAATATCGTGACCCTCAGCGTTCATGCTTACCGTAAATTTGCCAATGGGTCCAAACCGTTTGCGGTGATAAAAGCTATTGCGCTCTCCTCTTTCATCGGTTTCCCGCGAGCTCGGCAAAACGTTTCAAACTGTCCTGCCAACGATAGTCTCTCCGTTGCCATGTCGATGGTGTCCTGCATCTTGCTCGCATTTGCGTTTGCTATCCGAATATATTTTTCCCCAACGGGAGATGCCGGAGGTTCGCCGTACCAAAGCTGACGGTGCTGTTGGGCAATGTGGAACCCCTGGGCCTTCGATCAAGCGATGCCACACGCATAACAAGGTGCAAACGGGGCCCTGCGGCCTTTCGAAGCGAACCGGCGGGGATCCAGTCAATCGGGACTGCCCCTCCCCACATTCACTAACGACAGGAAGCAGCCCCTCAAAAGTTTTTTGAGCACCGCGTTTGGTTGTGGCTTTCGCGAAGTTGCCCCGTGCATTTCGGCAACCGCACATTGCACACGGATGTCACATAACCAAAAAGCTTAAAACGCAGGCAAAGAATGCTCTTGGCACCCCGTTCCTGGCCAAGCTGAGGCCGCATTGCCTTTACGAAAACGCCGGTGCCGTTTCAAGCCGTATAAAGCCACGATGGCGCAAGCGACTTTGACAGAGGAAAATTCCCATCCTGTAATAAAGCAGTGCGAAAATTAGCCGACGCTTTTTCACCCGCACCCATTATAAACGGAAACGGGTGGACTGTTTCCTGAATTAATTTTGTTTAATCATAAAGGGTTCCAAAGGTTCCTTACCCTCTATGGGCTTTTGCCTCCGATAATCAAACCCACTTCGCAAAGTTACTTCCAGAGCTGAAATTTCCCTATTATGCACTCTGGGGGTCCAAGTGGTAACATCAAAAATTTTAAATTCCCGTTCTGTTACACCAGTCCATTCTTTATCCCTTTCCTTATGTTCTTTTTCGCGGGCGCCCCTAAACAGCACGCCCCCGCCATTCTCTGATATCGGGGGTGGCGCCGCATTCCCGTTTCCATGCGCCGGCGCCGCCTTGGTGGGTGGCGGGCTTTTCGTATTCTCACCAGACCCCTTCCCTCGAGGGTTCGATTCCGCCCGCGCAAAAGAAGGGGTCCCGCCATCGTTTCCACCTGACCGCTCATTTTTCTTTTAGGCCAGCTTTGGAGAACGTTTTGCGCGCGTTTTTCAAGCTAAGAACTCAACCTCTATAATTCCCATTGCCTGGCGGCCGGCTGTTGGCCTAGGCGCTGCCATTCCTGATAAGCCTTTCCCGTCGGCTCTCAAAGGCATCACGCTGGTTTTTGAACTTCGCCCTTCTCTGACGAATAAGGCCCTCTTGTTCGGCAAACGCTGCCGCAAGCGATGAAATATTTTAGTACACCACTGTCGCCGCCCTCTGCTCCAGCAAAGCCCATTTCTGTTTAAATTCATGCAAAGCTTGAGCGCAATCTCTGTTCTACGCATCCCTTTGGGCAGTAAGTACACATTTCTCTCAAACCACGTTTCTAATTGCTGAAAAGAGGGGAAACAAAAACTGGGCCAATTGGGTGATTTGCACATCCACCGCCCGATCCATTATAGACGAATCCAGTCAAACTTTCCGAAGCGCGCCGCCCTCTAAACAGAGTCCGTGTTCAGTAATAGTAGTTAGGACCTCACATTTTGAAACTGAATTCCCGTTAATCAAGTTGAAAACCATTTTTGTGGTTCCTTTTTTGTTGGCGCATGTGATCTTCCAAACGCCTCCCTAGATCAACCCACTGATCAAAAGAATATGAGATCAAAGCCTTTCTTGAAAGTATTTTGCCTTAAAAGGGGGAAAAAAAAACATAAATTTCTTCTGATTTCTCCACTGGAGGCTCTTTTAGACTTTTGCAAGATTCAATAAAAAGAAGAAGATTACAACATCTCCAAATTGTAGACTGTCATAGACCAAATCAGAAGTTTTTCTTTTTTTTTTTTTTTTGAGCCTCTAAATTTTTGTATCATCTTTATTTTCTTTAACGAATGAGTGGCCTGAATAAGTGAAAGTGGCGGAAGGGTCAAATAAGCGCATGTGGAGCGACTAAACGCAGATCAATTGCAAAAAAAACCTCCCACAATTCTTTTGCAACCATTATACTGAGAAAATAAAAATAAAAGTCAGATTCAATACCTTTGAAATGGTCAAAACGTTTAAAGCGAATTCCATCCATATACCTACCTCACGGCTATTTCTAACCGAACGCTTCTGGGTGATTAAAGTCGTACCGTGAGCCACCACAGGTGTGCTGTATGATGTTGGAATACTTTTTACGCCCATCCTTTCATTTCAGAAGAAATTAGAAGTAGCCTTAGTGGATATCTAAAGATTCTACTTTATCCTAGAGCGGGTGGTCACTACGGCAGATGCTGGTGAAAAGGTTCAAGGCCCAGCGCTCCCCTGGGTACGTCAAAAACGCGAGAAAAGGAATACATGCGTCGGTCAAACATCCCTTCGGTAGCAAACGGCCATCACACCAGAATCAGCATAGTACCTAAGCAGAGAAACCCCCGCAGCGTCAAAGAAAACGCAGGTTTTAAAGATATAAAGGAAGCATTTGCGATTGGGTTTCCAGACTACGGGGCCCCGACCTCACCCACCCAAAGCGATTTCCAGTCCCCTTCACTATATATAAAAATAAAAAAATCATCCGGGCGAAGTACTAAAAATATAAATATATATGTAGTGTGTCACTTTTCAAGTTACATGCACGCATCCGCTTGCCATGGGGCAGTGCCCGATACACAGGCCACTGATCAGAAAAACAAAACTCTGATTTATGCGTGCGAAAAATTTTGCTAGCTGTTTCTTGGGCTCCATTTCCCCACCGTGGCTGAATAAAAAACCACCGATACCCCGCTTACCGCGCACAAGGTGTAAGGCATCCATTAAAAAGAGAGTTGCCCATTACGGTTTTAGCTGCGACACAGTATTTCCACCAAATGGTGAAAAGAAGCCAATCGCCACTTTCTTCAGTAAAAGCAAATGAAGGCATAAGATTACCACAGAGAAGGCAACGCTTTCGCTCATGATCCTCATCTACCACCAGGAGTTTAGAGAGAATCAAGGGTTCATCCGGTAGCATTGGCAAGTCAAGGGGCGCCAATGATTTAGGCATTGTTTTGCAAAAATCCAAAGCTAACTCCCAACTTGGTGGATCCCGATACGGTGCGGAACATGTGGAATTCAGGACCTGCTGATGGTTCGATTTGACTATTGTTAAGAATATTGGCGTTAAGAAACTCATCGGGGATTTCACACGCCACCGCTCTCCTTCCGTAAATCTTCTCACGTTTACGAATGGGATGCTGCGTGGAAAAGTTGAATCTCTTATTCTGCAGAAACTTGCGCAGTTAAATTACGCCGCACCAGCTGAGAAACCTTTTTAGTATTGCGCGTGGCGTGGGTTGATTCTTGGCTATGAAACTGCACGTGAATCGAAACTCCAGAGATTACTCTTTTTTAGCCAATTGAAAACTTTAGACGGAGATGGCGCATAGGATGGCAAATGGCGGTGGGCTTCTTTTATTCGGACTGGCATCCCCCCTTCCTTTAACAAACGCACCGGGTCAGGAACCCATAAATTTTGATAGTGTGAGCGAGCGCTTCCCCAAACATAATATGAATTCCAGATTGTTTTTGGGTAATGGGGTAATTTCGCCATCACTCTCTTTTCTTTTTTTTTTCTTGGCGTGCGAGACGGTATCATTCTAAACGGCGGCCGCGCCATGCTTGGAGGGAATTTCCTGCCCCACCCCCTGTCCTTGTTTGGCCGTTCTATCATCGTTTTTATGCGTCTCTCATTAATTTTTTTTTTTTGCCGTCACAAGGCCCAGCCCAAGATAAGGGAACGGATCCCAGAAAGGCGGTTTGGCACCACAATAAAGTTCAACAGAGTAAACGTGAGTACAAGAGAACGGAAAGCTGTTTAAAAACGAAAAAAAAATACAGAATGTTAAAAATAAGCTCTTCTAGGTGAAGGTGGTGTGGAAAAACTATTTTTTAGATACCCCATTTGCACCAGCTAAGGGGAAGCAATGGCGCACACTAAAATCCTTTTTACATTCAAGGCGTAATGGTATTCAAGAATAGCACCAGTGTAAAAATTATTTTCTCACGCAGGTCAGTTTGACATGGCGCTTTGGATCTTTGTAGCTTTTTCTTTGGTGGTGCTTTTGGGCGGCATCATCCCGGTACAAGTATTTGGGTGCGCTTTGGGGTGGTGATAAACTCCCGTGGGCCAAGGCGCCGCACGGGCTAAGCGCGGACGCCTTTTGCCGAGGGATGGCCCCGCGCTCGCATTCCGCATTGACTTTCCGTCATAGAACGGACTTTGAAGTTCTATAATGAAGGACTGGCTCTTTGCAGATGGGTTTGCAAACTTTTTTTTTTCTCTTTTTGTTTATGAAACGACTTCTTCTCAGATGGGCGCCGCCGCAAAATCAACGTCCAATAATAGAAAATATTCTTCTTTTGGCAGGCTGTCATCTAAAAAAAAAGCGAGTCTTACCAGCGAGGGGCCCTGGAGCTGAACCCGCGCCAGTCGAACTAGTGGAAACTTAGGTGGTTATCCAATCAAAAAAAGAATGGTGGAGGGCCATGTTGCTGCGCAATCTTCGGCGCAGAGTGGACCCCGCGTGCGGAGGAAACCCTTGCGCAGCGCACGGGCGGCAGAGTTGCCCCGACGTCCCCGCCCGCACGCCCGAACCCGGTTTTCCAAAACGGAAGAAGATTAATACTTCTGAAACATTCTTCCTCATTTCCTTTAAAGGGGAAACTTCTTCATTGTGCGGGGTTTGGGTGGGAAAGGGTTCGCCTTGGGGGGCCGAGCGCTTTGTACCAGGGACGCGGCTTAATGCAAAAAAGGCCTTGCCCCAGAGCAATGGCTGAAAGATTCGGTTAGGTCCTTTATATTCCGGGAGATGGTTCTTACCAAAGCGGCCCGGCCCGCACAACGAATATCGCAGAAAAAAAAAAAAAACAAGGCCTCGCTCTCGAAGTTTTTTTTGCCGCGCCTTCTGCGGCCATGGGGCTTCCAAAAAGAAGGAAACAAAAAGCCATACCAATAAATGAATGGGATGCAAAATTCTTTTAACCACCAAAAGTGATGACACCACACGGAATTCATGAATTCCGAGTTTCTATTCCGGAAGGATTCTTCCAGATGAGAAGGGTTTGCCCGCCGAGGGGGTAAAAAAAATTTAAAGGGAAGCTCAATTTTCCTGGCACCGTTTATGGTGTCGCTGTGGTTCTTGGGTGTCCGGAGTGCTGTGTTTCTTCCTTTTGGGGTCTCGATGGCGTTGGTGGTATTTTCTGAAGCCGGCCTGCGGGCGTTGCCAAAGGAACTGCCCACCCACCCGCCCCATTTTTTTCTTTCCAATCACGCAGAAGCATCCCCGACATTTCCCAAAAAAACCATTTGGGAAGTTAAAGCTGGGGTTTTTTTTTTTCAAAACGGAAGAACGGGGTGCGCTTCCGGGTTCGGGGTTTTGCCTTGAGCTTCGCCCGCGCCTTTGGGGTGGGATGCGGAAAATAAAGAAAAGTTTAGAATGACGCGTTCCCGCCGTACGGTTTTGGCGAAGAATTCGCTTTCCGCACCACAGTTTGGCACGCGCAAAAGGTAAAAAAAAAAACTCCGTTGCCACGATTCAGCGCGCAAAAGCAAAAACGCTTTCCGCCATTACTCTCTGCTCTGAAAAAAAAGTGGGGGTTGCTTTGATTTTGCTTCTTACCTTGCGCGCTTGGGATTGGGAGTTCTCTTAAATTCACGCTTCTTTTCGTTCCTCCCAGAACGCATTCCCACGAAGAAAATAAACCTTTTAGCACAGATAACAAGCACATATCTTCAACAAAGCGGCCAAATTGAAGTGTCGGCTTGCTTGACCGAGGCGTTGGAAAAGGTAAAAGGAGTAAAATACCCGGGGTCTGCCGTGAAAGGAGGCGTGGTGCAAAATGGCTTGCGGGGGCGGTTTCTGGGTTCTTTAGCCAGGTCCGGGGGAAGCCCCTTGACCCACACCCGAGGCCCACCCACACGCATACACAAGTCCAATCCCTATGGAAAAATAAAAATAAGAAAAAAAAAACTATTTCAGTGGCATTTTGGCCCTTTTCCCTCTTTCCCTGTTTTGAATAGGGCGGGGCAGCCCTGACATTGGCCTTGGCGTCCGCGGGATCCGTTTCAAATGACGGTAGCGGCGTCGTGGCGGCAGGACGTTCTTTCTTCACAAGAGCGGATCCTGAAACCATACCCGTGGGTTCTCCTAAAATTCAAACGTTGAAGGAAACTAGAATGATAACCTAAAAAACGTTTTAAGGGTCTTTTTTTGCCGGAGGAAAGTATTGTTTTGATAAGGAAGAAGCGCCGCACCCAAGATATATTGAAGAACAGGTTGGAAAGTTCCACTTTTCTTTATTTTTTTTTTAGAACCAAGCGGTATATTTACACTTAGATCGATACACCCGAGCAGGGTTCTAGGGGCAAAATTGGCAGACACATTCCCTTTTGAAAAGGAAAACTGGCTGAGGGAAGGAAGAAAATAATAATCACGACCTGAAATATTGGAACTCCTCCTTTTCCCCACCAAAACTAACGCAGCCGAATCGGAAAACAAAAAAACAAAAAAAAAAAAACAATCGCTACTCTAGCCTCTCGGGCCTCGCGACGTACCGAAAGGGCCCTTTGGCAAGGTCGTGCGGGAAAGGCCCCCGAAACCCCTACCGGCCACGAAAGGTCGCCGGCGAAGCAGCCTTGGGCAAAGAAAAATAAGGCGCCACCCCTCACAGAATCAAAGAGCGGACGCTTCCCGGGCCGCGAAAAAAAAAAAAAAAGAAAACGCAAACAGAAACAACCGCGGCAGCCCTGCTTTTGGGAAGGCCTTTGGGGAAACAAAAAAAGGTTGGGTGGTTTCCTTATACCCGGCGGCTCGATTTCTCTGCGCGCGTTTTCCCCCACCCCTGCGCCGCAACAAAGGGGCCCGCGGAAGAAAAGAACCATAGAGAAAGCGAGCCCCGCGATAGTTTTTTTTCCGCTTTTGGCTTTGGTTTCCGTCAGGCTTTTCCGGATTTTGTAAACCAGGGCGTCGTTGGGCCGAGGAGCCTCCATCGGGGTTGTGGGGAAAGGGGCGTCGTTTTTTTTATTTATTTTTCCGGCGGCCGGGCTTGCCGAGAACAGCGGGCAGCGGCCCCAAGAGGCAAAATCACATTTTGCCAAAAAAGAACCCCCGAACCGGGGCGAAACGCGAGGAAGGGTGACCTTCCTGGGGCGCCCCGGGGCAAGAAACCCCTGAAATATGAAGAAAAAAAAAAACAGTCGCGGTTTGGGGTATCTTTTAATTTTTTTTTCTGTGTTCTCTAGGGTGTGTGTGTGCGCCTTTGTCGTGCCAAAAACGCTCGGGATGCGCGTGGGCTTCGGGAGGGATGTCTGTGAAAACCCTTTTTTGCTGCCACCTCCTGGGGTCGCGGTCCGGGTTCTTTTTCGCCCCCCGCCGGCCCCAAGAAGGAGCGGCGATGAGAGGGAAAGTGGGGCGTCTAACTTTTCAAAAGGTGGGGAAAAAAAAAAAAGAAAAGGAGCAAGGTCTTCTAGGAGCAGGTCGCCGAGGAGTTCTTTATTTTGTATATGTGAGGAAAAAAAAAAAGTTTTCTTGTAAAATTTGCTCTTGCCCGCGCTTTCGCGCTTCATGCGAAAAGATGCCGCGCCCGGATTCCGCTGCATTTTGCGAGCGTCTATTTTTCCGTTTTTGGTTTCCCGGAGGTGGTTTTTTTTTTTCTTTGTTTTTTTTGCTTTCTTTCGCCCGGCGTTTGAAGGGCGCTAGGCTCCCTGAAGGCGCCCCTCCCTGCCGCGCTTTCGGCCCCTCTTTCCCAAAAGAGGGCTTTCGACCCCCACGCCCATCCCCGTCCCAGGGGGCCCTTCTAAGTTTGGGGGCGGGTCCGTCCCGGTTCCCTCCCGCGGCGTCTCGTCGTCGGCGCTCCCGCTGGTTTGGTTTTTTCTCTTGTTCTGGTGGGCGGCCCCTTCGGCGTATGGAGGGGGCGATGCGCTCATGGGGGCCGCCCTTTCCGTGCCCCCCGTTTCCCGTGGGAGGCCTCGCAACGTCCGAAGGAAGCCTTCCAAGGAGCCGTCCCTACCGCCAGGCCCTCCCCCTCTATTGCGTGCCATGCTTTTTCTTTTTTTTTTTTTTTTCTTTTTTTACTTTCCCCAACTTGGGGCCTTCTTTCCTCCTCTGCGTCTCTCTTCTCTTTTTTTCTTCCGATAAATGTTCGCTTTTACTTGCTGGCAAGCGTTCCTGCGCCTTGTTTTTTTTTTTCTTTTTTTTTTTTCCGTTTCCGAGCGCCCCCTTCACACAAAAGGTGAAGCTTGAAACGGCGGCGCGAGCAAACAAAGAAACAAACGAGAAAGAAAAAGAATAATCTCGGCCTTATTTCTACCATAAAACAGAAAACAAAAACAAAACCCCGCGTTTTATAACCCTGAATTGTAGGACCCTTCTTGCCTACAAAATAATAATTCCATTCAAAACGGTTGCCTATTAATACGCATTAAGAACTGAAGAAATGGAAGAGTGCCGGGAAGCCTCTTTTTAGCCCGCCTCCCGCTCGGTACGTGGCGGTGGGGGGGGGGGGTTGGATAGGGTGGGCTTTTCAGAAACTTACAAACGGACCGGTCCACAGGATTGGAAAGGAATAAAATTTTTCACCGAAACGTCAAGAAAACCCCAGCACAAGAAACGCCACCAAAAACGCAAGACCCGACCATCCTTTTCGCAAGCTGGCGGGAAAACCGGGCCTCCCTTCGGCAAGGCGGAAAAAGACGTCACCCGGTGTTTTTTTCCTTCCTTCCCACCAACCGCCGCCCCCAAGCGCCTTTGAAAACGCAGCGGGGGGAGGGGAGGGGCGGTCTCACCCAAACCCTTCTCCCCCCATCGGCCGGGAAACGAGGAAACAAAACAAAACAAAAAAATGGGCAAACACAGCCAAAACGCAACCCGTCAACGCCAAAAAAAAAAAAAAAAAAAAAAAAAAAAAAAAAAGGGAAAGAAACCCTGGCTCTTCCTTTTCGTTTCGTGAACCCTCGGCTTTCCGTGGCCGCCCCCTTTTATTGAAAACAAGGAAAAAAAACCATCCATGGAAAAACTTACGACGGGCGGGGATCGAACCCGCGATCTCTCGCGTGTGAGGCGAATGTCCTAACCACTAGACGACCATCGCTGCGACAACAAATGCTACATTTTAAATATTATATATATTTATATCAACTACCATTTTTTTTAAATAAATTTATTTGTGGATTTCTTTATTTTTGTATGGGCGTGCGCAGCGAAAAAAAAGAAAAAAAAAAAAATAGGACCTATTTAACAGTAAACAAACAAAAAAGCGAGAAACCAATCCCATATAGAAGGAAGAACGAAAAAGAGAGAGAAAAAAAAAAAGAGAGAACCAATAAAAACAAATTCAATAGAAAATAATAAAAAGGAACGAGTAAGACCTCACCCCCTTCTAAAGAGTTAAGAAAAAAAAAAAAAAAAAAAAACATGAAAATAAAAATAATAAAATGTGACTCATCTTGAATTGGTTTTCATTTCTCTTATTCAATGGATATGTGTGTGTGTGTGTGTGTGGAAACAACATCATTTCTCATTTTTCCCATATTTTATCCTCCTATTGTTTTGTCAAAATTCCTTTAAAATTATCTTGCCTTCTGATTTTATTATTTAGACTCCGCTTAAGGATATATTTCATACTTTTACTCTTTTTCCATTTTCTTCTTTTTTTCATTCTGATAGACGGTTTCTTTTCTTTTCTTTTTTTTTCTTTTTTTTTCTTAAGCTAGAGCGGCAGCTTTAAGTGTTTGTACCGGACATTCCACCACTTCGACAGGCGTTGGCGCAATTTTTCGGGAACGCATTTCATTGCACAGGAGGCGGTGGGTTTTCCAATCCTCTCGTTGACACTCCACGTTGCAGTAAAATGTTACACGGCATCCACTGCATTTCAACATTTCCTTAACCTTTCCTGGACAGCCAGGATTACCGCACATCAAATTAGCTCCTTTACCAACCAACGGGTCCCTGCTATGTGATGCTAAATGGAACTCAGGGGCACACAAAAGAGAAAAAATACGATTTATATCTTCTTTTAATGTATTAAGCTCTTGAGCTGACTTTTCAGTTCCCAATTTTGAATAAATACTGTCAGCAGTTGCTGAGGCTCGGTCTACTAAGGCAAGATGATCGCTTAATCCTTTAATACCCTTCATTTCTTTTCGAGTGATAGACAACGTAAGAATAACGTTATCCATAAGAGGAATAAGAGTTACAGGAGATGCTCGAAGACTTGTTAAAAGAATTTTAACATATCGAAAAGCATCAAATAATGCCATTCTTACTATAAATAAAGCACCATTCTGAATTCTTCTAATAGGTTTTTCAAGAAGTGGAATTCGGCAATCAAATCGAGTAAATAATTCTTCTACTAACTTGGCCACTAAATCATCATCTTCTTTTACTGCCATCATAAGTAAACAATCAATAATTTTCGTTTTTTCAACATCTCTTATAAAGAGGGTATATGTTGTTCGGAGTTTAGCGAAACAAGGGCAACATTCATTACATACGTAGATATTATTTTTAGTACCAGATCCATGTATCATACTGTAAAGACCCAAACAAGGGATAAAACAGAAAAAAAGCGACTTCAAAGATTCCATTAAAGCATCAAATGCTAGAGATGAATCAGGTGATTGTCTAAGTGCTTGCATCCGAGAAATAGAAATATTTAAAACTTCATTTATTTTTGTATTACCAGCAGTAATTGAAGTATTCTCCAATGATTTTTCAATTTTTTTAATAACTTCCTCACGTACCTTAAGGAGACCTACTCTTTTTCTTGAATCAAGATGAGGACATTTGCCTATAACACAAGCTGTCTCAAAGGCAGAATAAGCAGCTTCAAAAGTGAGACTTACATCACGAGTACGTTTCGGCCAAATCTTTTTACCACCCTTTTCAATCATGGTATCGTAGAATTGAAAAGCGGCTTGCTCTAAAAAGGGATCTTCATTTATCAATGCGAAAGCCATTAAACAGTTAATAATGCGCATTGCAGCCGCCCAGCGCTCCTCCCTCGACAAGCATGTATCAATGTACTCTATCAACCACCCAAGTTCCATAATTTGAAAGGGATAACGAAGCACAGTAGCACTGTTCACAGTTTTTTCCATAGTCGCCTCTGTTACCACATGACTTTCATCTCCAGACCCTTTTCCGTCACTACCCATAGTAGTACTATTTTTACAAGGCTGCAGACACAAAAATAAAAGTTATATATATATATATTTAAAGATAGATAGAAAGATAGATGGAGAAATAGTGTGTGTGCGTGTTTATGAATATAAGGAAGCATGATACAAAATAAAAAACAAACAAAGAAAAAAGATAGGAAATAAGGTGATCCAAAACATTTTTTTTTTTTCATTTTTCATTTAATTTTTTTTTTTTTTTTTTGCCTATTTAAAATATGCTGCGATGCCATTGGCGTTCATTCTCCATACCACGGAGCAGCGTGTCTAATAAATAGCGCTCACTCTCACATAATTTTTCTCTTACGTCTGTCAAATCAAAACCTCTCTTCGAGGCTGCGTGAATAACTTTAAGATACCTTAGTTGATACAGTCTAAAAAGTTGCGCTGCAAGTCGATTACCTTCATTTGTCGGTAGCATAGCACAAAGAAGAAGACCAGCCTCGTAAAAGTACGGAGATTTTGCATGAAGACTGGCTGCAAGAGGGTCTGTCTTGAATTCCCGAAATACAGATGTTGTATACCGTGGTGGTACCTGGGGAATAAGATATCCACCCTCACGTAGTGCTACGGCAGCCCACATGGGAATTGTAGAGACACTGCCGGCTTTCACTTCCTCAAGAGCCTCACCCTCATTGGTGCGTACATTAATCTCTTTTCCCAGACTAAATGAAGGCACTAAGAAAGTGACAGGGACAGTCTCTTCATTGGTCAGAATATCAGATAAGTCAAAGTAGCTCTTAATCATATGAAAAAAAAAACCACTACCTTTTTCTGTCTAGACCTGAAATGAAAAAAGAAAATAAAAGAATACATTATACACGGATATAGAAATATATATATGTATGTATACATATATATATATGTCAATGGGAGACAATCCCATAAAATAGAAGCACAAAACAACAACAAAAAGAATAAACTCATAACAAAAAAATAGATTTCACATCTTTCATTCTATCTCTCTTTTATTTGTATATGAGCATTCGCACAATACTAAGCAGTATGAAGAGATAAATAAAGATCAATCACAATATGACTTTAATACATCCGTTACCAGAAGGATTATATACATAATAATATAATAGTAATTCCTATAGAAAAAAAATGCAAAACAGTGTTATAACAGTTATATAAGAGCGATATAACAATGATATAACCGTAATATAAGAGTGACATGGATATCTCTTTATGTGTATGGGTATCTTTGTATATATGGGGTGGGTAGGTGGTATTGATTCCATGACAATCTCTTACATCATCCTTGGTAGAAAACCCAAGTAAAAAAAGGCTTAATTGTTAATAATTGGTGGATAGTCTTCTTCTGCCTTAGCTGCACGTAATTGCATCAATCGCTCTTGACGATCCACCACACTTCGAAGAATATCCATATTTGTCTGATTGAGAGGCCTCTTCACAATAGCACGTATCTCACGCAGAAGGTCATTGAACTGCGTTTCTGTAGCCGCTGCTGCCAGCTTCCGCTTCTTTTCATTCTCAAAGTCCTGTTTATAGAGATCTTGGGTTCCATTTTCTTGAATTTTTTTAAGTTCTTCCACATCCATTTCAACATTACGGCGTGCCTCGTGTTCTTCAAGAATTAAGGCTTCAAGGTCCTCTAACTTTTGTGTACAGACGCTGCTCACATCACTGACCTTCTCTCGCAATCCAGTACGACTCTTAAAAGCCATGTTACCAAAGGTATCACAAAGACCAGAAGCGGCTGTATTCTTTGCGAGAACTGTGTGTGGACCAGGCTTCCATCCGTATGTCTCACCAGCGTGCACACAACATGTGTGTCCAGGACGTTTTTTTGTGCAGCCCACACCGAGTGTGTGCGTTGCGGATCGAAGCTGAGAGGCTTTGAGACGCCAACTGCCTGGATGGGCGGCGGCCCGAGGAATACAGGGACATCCACCTGTTGCGCAGTAGTAGTTATTTGTCCGGGGTTGTGCGAGCAGCTTATAGTTGGGAAGTCCCTCTGTGTGTCCATAGCAATCACACTGATGATATCTTTTGTGATGACGTGATGCTGCGCCATAGGAGCCTTGCAGCGGTGCCTTCACACTTACTTTGGGATTCACTTTTTCATTAGCAGTATTAGTGACCATCTTTTCTGGATACCTTGCAGACTATTTTTATCCTTCGTGACTTTTTAAGCCTTATGTTTGCTTATATATCCTAGTAATATAATATCCATATATCAAGGAAAAATTAAACGAAGAGAGAGAGAGAGAGAGAAATCAAAAAGAATAAGAAAAAGGGAGATAGTAAACAACAACAACAAAAAAAAAAACACACAGGTATAACCAACAACAACAACAACATCATCATCATCAACAACAAAGAAAAATGATATAGAATGAATTCTAGAGGAAGTATCAATAAAAAAGTTTCATTCCATCGGTGTCAATCTACACCATATGGCATACTACTGCCATGCTTTACATTTTCAGTTTACCATCTGATATGGGGTGGTTTGGTCTCCACTAGTACATCGCATAGAATAAATAAAAAAATGATAAGGGGGTACCAAAATATGCGAATGCTTTCCATTTCAGAATGTAAAAGAGAGACCAAGATCAATATCAGTCACATAAAAAAGTAGAAAGTCCATACAAAGAGTGATATAAGAAAAAAAGAAGAAAAAGAAAAATACTAGGCAGATATATATATAGGTAAAATATGTATATACGAAGCACCTTAAATATGATACTACTAAAAATACATCTTTTCCTTCGCTTGCTATTCATGTTTAGTTTAAATCTTTGTTGTTTTGAGACTGGACAAAGTTTGCTTCTTTTTCTCTTGTTCACGCAGGTGCTGTAGTCTTTCCTGTTCCTCAAGTAGGTAATGAAGACGTATGATGTTTACCTTTGACCCCACAGGTTGTTTTGTTACATATCGTAGCTCTTCCAACACTTCATCATACTGTTCAGAAACTGTTTTAATCTCATCATCATCTTCACCACCACGCTTTTGAGAATCTTTAGTGGTAGCATACGTTAACATTTGCACATGCCGACTGCCACGAAGTCCAGTTTGAAGCTCCAATGATTCACGTTCTTCCTCAGCAGCGAGGAGATCACGTATCTCATCACGGAGGACAGCTTTAAGAAACTCTTTACGATCTTGCATTCGCTCATAGCGTTTCTCCTTTTGTGTCTTTTCTTTCGGATCTCCAATGGCCCGAAACTTACGCTGAGTTGCTGTACCGCCGTAGTTGCGTGAGTTTGGAAATACCAAACGAGTACCTGTAGCTGGATCACGTATGGCGGTGGTTTCTTCACAAACTTCATCAGCAAGATGTACCTTGTGCTTCCCAGGACTGTATGCACGGTATGTTTCTGTCGGTTTTATTCGCTCACAAGTGGCAGGATTGCTACTGCAGTATAGAGTATTCATACCTTTTTCCTTTGTTTTGGGAATACACGGACAACCACCACCTTCCTTTGCATGAAATCCTTGAAGTGTGCGTGGAACAGCGAGTTTTTTGTACTCTGGCAGATCTTGCGTGTGACCGTAGCATTCACATACATGATACCCCTTAGACGCCGCATCACACGTTGTCTGAGGAGGATTTGCAGTTGCTGATTTCATTAATTATAGTGATGGTACTATACACCTAATACCTTGTTTCTCATGAAAGATAATGATGAGTCCACATATATATATATATATATACGTAGTAATAGTAATAGAGAGAGAGAAAAAGTAAAGCAATACAAAAAAATAAGGAAAGAAAGGCAAAAAAGTTTTTATTTTTTCCTTCCTTTAGAGGGGGAAGACATTATTTAAGAGTGAGAGCTACAGTTAGAGTTACAAACATCAGGTTGTAACTGTATATGTATATATAGAAAAATGAGAGAAAAAAGTAATTAAAGTTCCATCAAAGGCATCCACTGTTTTTTAACTTCATTTCCAAGTTCTACAGGAGCTTTTACAGTAAATTTGTGAACCACGTTTAAAATCTTCACCATCGCTGGAAGCTGTCGAAACTGAAGTAGCTCTTGCTGCTCTTCCCTGGATAACAGCAATGGGAGAATGGTTAATACACGAAACTGATCTCCCACATCATTTTCCATATGAGGAAGACACAAAGCAGCATTCTCAAGGAGAGTACGACATATTGAAGGTATCTTCTCAGAGTGTAAAAAAGCATTTGGATGAAGAACAGCCAAAGTCAAAGCGCAACTAAAAGCATTAGTCTTCATATGCGTGGACTTCCGTACATCTGCTGAGGAAAGGGAATGGGATAAGATCTTCACTAAAGTATTTAGTTCCTGCTCTGAGACAGAGTTATGTAAGAAATAATTTTTCTCCTCTTGATTTGAAAGAATGAGGCGAAAAAATATCTGCGAAAGACAAAGAAAAGCATTACTAATAGATTTTTCTGCAACAGGGGTACGAGTCACTTCGTTCATACAGATATGATAAATTCTACAAATAATGGTAAAATCATCATAGAAACGCCCAACACTAGTTAAAAATGCCAGACAGGAACGTCGTAGTTCAACTTCAGTTGGTTGGTGTTCCATTATTTGAAAGCAAAGCTCCACCACATGAAATTGTGGGTTTACTTCCAAGTATTTTAGTATTACTTCATGCAATAGTCTCTTCCCATGCATAGCGGCCTCTGAATGAGAGAGTAATTCTTGATCACTCAGAACAGCATCACAGCAAGCATCGAGCATATCAAAGACAAGTGTAGCAAGATCACTCCCATATACACTTAACGCTGAAGAAGAAACAGAAGAAGTGTAAGAGGTGGATTCATCATGGCAACAACTTAACACCATAGTAGCGAACGAGACCAAAGGGTTAAGGGTTTGTGTTATAACCATTCTCCCAGCGTTAAAAACAACATCTACAAGGGTGTTTAGAAGTGATACAAGTTCCACTGCAGAAGATAAAGAAGCTATTTGTGTTGTGTTTGGAAGAAATACGGAAGCGAGTTGTTGACCATGGGTCCCAAGAACTGTAATGGAGTGCATAACGGTGGTTTCATCGATAAGAGAAGGAATATCTAACGCCATAGGGAAAATCTTTGAGATGCAACGGTACATCATTGTTCGGGCGCCAAGTTGCATATGTGGAAATATGGAGAATAGTCTCTGGAAAACAGATGAAAAACATTCTGAACCTTCTGAAGTGTTATTCCTACGACAATCCTCTAGTGAGGAGAGAATAACAGTAGTAATAGACTGAATGGCTTCCAACTGAACCTGTTTATTACCATCATCAGCAATAACATCTGTGAGCAGTTGTATAGCTCTTGAAGGAGAAAACACTTCCTTTATAGTGGAAAAACCTTGTGAACTCCCTGCACACCCACTCGCAACTCGTGCTACACATCGAACAGCTTGATAGCGAATATAATACGGTGAAGAAGAACCTGTAGCTAAGGTAACCCAACAGTTCTGTACGACACCCGACACAAAGACAGTATCAAGATCATCAAAAAGTTCCTCCACCAATTCTGAGAAGAGAAATAAGGCATATTCTATAAACTGCATAGATTCATTATCCCCACCATGTGATTCAGATGTTAGTATAGAGAAGAGTTTTGGCATTAAATGTGCAAGAATATCCTCACGGCAAGTACAACTCATAACATCCAGTAGCTCTGTTAGGGCTTGCCTAACCGATGTGACGGACTCTTCATTATCTGAATCATTATTATCATTATCATTATTATTATTACTTTTATCATTACCATCATAATCATAATCATATTCATCATCTTCATCGATTGCTGCCAGTGTTGCCTGTTGATTCTGTACAAAGGCACGGACGGTGGTCTCATCATCTGGAATATGTGTAGTTTGTTCCAAGGATGGACTACAGAGAAGCATCGAGGGTGGCAACAAACTACAGCGAAAGATAGCTGTTGCTGCTTCTGAAGCTAGGCTTGACAGTACCAACCTTCCACCTTCCTCATGCTGGGCGAGATGATTGATAAAATCGAGACAAAGAACAAGAGTCTGTTCGTCAGTATTCATCATACAGAGGAAGACTTGCGGGAGAACAGCAGCTACAGCACGTGTTGTATAAGAACTTCCAAAAGAGTTCCATTGAAGGGTTATATTCATGTAGTCTAAAACCACAGGCACAAGTCCTGTACTAACCATCCCATTAGAGAGATTCTCAATGAGGAGACACGAAGCCTTATGAACGGATAATGCGTAATTAAGTATATCATGGGTTGGAGAATGCTTGGTTTCATTTCCTACTTCTGGAGAAGTATCTAAATCATTATTACTACTCTCATGAAGTGAAAAAATATCCTCTGTAAAACAGCTTGTTACAGCTTTAATAACCGATTCAATAGCAGGAATAGAAGAGGTTGTTTCATGTAGAAGAATGGAAGTAGCATGCAATAAATTACCAAGAAGTTCACTAAGGCAACTACATGTCTCTTCATTCATACTGACAAGTTCACAAAGTACTGTACTACACTCTTCACATAGAATTCTTGTACACGTGGATAAGCCAATGAGAAGCATCGCGATGGCGGAAAATCCTTCTGTATCCTTCCTCTCTTGACATTGAACTACAATATTGCATGAACGCTGATGCAGTGTATTTAGCAGCATAGGCCACTTGCTAAGAAGACCACCTTCACTTACAATGGCAGCAACTACAAGACTAGCCCCCACACGTACAGCTGGGATTGGATCTGCCAAAGCTCCCAAGAGTGATGATTCAACTGCCCCAACATCTAATGTGTGAACAAACTCTGGGTTCAATTGTAGCAGTTGTTTGAGAATTAAAACAGCGGCTTGCCGGGTTGAAAGAGGGTAATGTTCATGGCATAATACATCCAATATAGCGTATGGTGCCGCACTCCAAGTCTGCAAGCGGTGGAGTTGCGAGATGTTTTCCGCCTGTACTGCAGGATCAGAGGAAGTGACGTTACTTAAGAATTGCAGGAGGGCATTATGTTCCTCCGAACTCCACTGCATTTATTTAGAATGACTTACAGAATACAAATAAAAAAATAAAAAACAAAAGCAAAGAAGGAGAAAAAAAGAAAAGAAAAGAAAAAATAGGTTTTACAATAGAGAAACATAGAAATAATTAAGAGGGGTAGAGGAAAGGAAAGAAAAAAAAAATACCCTGCCTATTTATGATAAAAATATTTTCAAGCAAACTATCACATTTGCCTCATTACACTGAACCACACTATTTGTTTCGCTTAGATCAGAATTAACAAGAAGAGGAGAGTCTCTCCTCACACTTTCGTCGAAACTCATCAAACACCACCACACCCTTATTATCCATTGTTTTAAAAAGTGCAATAGCTTCCTTATTGCGTCCCAATTTTAAAAACACTTCCAGAAGTTTATTCAGAGTTCTGCTGTTCCCCTTTACACGGAAACGCCGCATTTCACGCAGGAGAAAGTCAACCTCATCATAACATCCTGTCGATCTCATAGACTCTAACAAGATAGAGATAGTGTGTGAGTTGGGCGCTATACTGTTCCCTTGTCTCCCCATCACACTTTTATACAGTGTGAAGGCGGAAAGTGGATCTCGGGAGTGACGAGCGGTATTCAAAACGGCATTAAGAAGATGTGGGGTGACAGCAACACTATCAATTGTCGTCATACAGGAGAGTGCCTCATCATATTGGTGGTTGTGTATTAAACCAAAGAGCAAACGTGCGTAAATGCCTGCTGAGGCCTGACGTTCGTGTCTTGTACGATAGTCCGTCACACGAGCCACTGCTAGATGCATTACACCATTCCAATCACAAACCCCAATATAAGCAGCGATGGTGTACTCCGTTGGGGTGAGATGAAAGCGGTCAAGATCCATCATGAGAGAGTGTGCTCGTGCTTCTACAATGGCATCCTTCTTACTATAACGCTCTAGAATACCCATCACATACTGTACAACACGAGGTGTTGGATTGGTACCACTATCAATCATGTATCGATACATGGACCAGAGACTCTGTAATAATGGCCCTGCAAGAAGTGAAGACGCTGCCACAGTAGCATTCGCAAACTCCGTCGGGAGAAGACTTGAAGATGATGTGAGATGACGATCCACCACATCTTCTTCTGCTAATGCAGGGGCGGATGTGCCGAGTGTCGCCACAGCATAAAAGACATGAAAGATATCTTCATAAGTGTCTACACGAAGTCGAATACGCTTCACTATTACTTCCTCATGAAGGGCTAACAGAGCGTGACACTTCTCAATAGGCGCAAGATGGGACTCCAAACAAGTCACAATACGCACCAACAACTGTTGATATTCCCGCCTGCGTGCATTCCAAACGAGTTCACGTTGTACAGGACTAAGGTGCAACTTTCGCCTGCGTGAGTCTAGTGTTACTACCGTCGCAGGATCATGTACTGCCATATCTTTCTCTTGCGGGTGTTGTTGTTGTTGTTCTTGCTCTTTTGCATTTTCAAAACTATGCCTTGAGCTTTGCTCTTGCTTGAATACACCATCTTGCTGGACTCCCATAGATACCGCAGTTGTCTCCATCTTCATGTTGGGCGAATCGTTCTCCATATGTCTATATGTGGCCATACGTACTGGACGTCGTCGTTGTTGTGGAAGTGAACGAATCTCGCTCTTCACAAAAGTCACCTGTTCATCCACAGTACCACCGTAGGGAATATGCACAACAGACCTCCATGCACAGAACGGTTGCTCAAATGCTGTACGTAGAAAGCGTCGCCACATCATACTAAAGGAAAATTTTTTGTTTTTGATGTATGTGGCGAATATATACAAATATACAGAGAGGAAAGGAAATCAAAAACAAGAAGAATAAGAAATGAGAGCGTTGCATATGCAGACGTCAAAGCACGGGGGTGCGAGTACACAAGATGAAAAACATAATACTCAAAAGGTCTTACCTATATTTCTATTTTTGTTTTCTCTGCAACTAATATTTATTCATTTATTTTTAATGTATTATTATTATTATTATTATTATTATTATTATTATTATTATTATTATTATTATTATTATTATTATTATTATTCTAGTCCCATTAAGATTGTTAATACTAAAAAAAGATATAACACCACAAAGAACTTCGCAAGAAACAAAAAAAAGTATTCGAGAAATACAACCATAATAGTAGACAGAACACGAGTGTCTCACGCTTAAGCAAAGTGGAAACTCTCACTATAAGAAAGACCCAAACAAGGCAGGAAAACATAACAAACCGAAAGAAGGTATCACAAAAAAAACTTATGGAAAAGAAGTTTCAACACCACTACAGAGACATCAACAAATAAAAGCAAAAAGAGAAAGAGAAAGCAAACCACACAAATTACAATACACCTTTATTCCACCAATGAAAGAACTTCAAGAAGAATAAAAAAAGCACTATAACAGCTTCTCTACAACATAAATCCACACGACCAAAAACAAATTAAGAGAACCACAATTGACCCCAACCTCCATCCCCTCATCATAACTCACCTACAGAAATTGAAGTGGGACCAGTTATTCGGGTAAATAAGCAATCATAACATATTAAGTCAATAAACCAAAGGAAAAGATAACATACATAATAATTCAAAAATGTATCCAGTCCAGATAACCAAAAGCAAATAAAAGAAAAAAATGAATATCAAAAACACTTGCACAGAGATTATGTGTACCATATCCGTGGTAGTGCTAACAAACAAACTGAATATATCCACGTCCACGCACCATTTCCAGTCTAGAGC